AGAGGCAGATGAATTAAATCCCTTTAAGGAGATCCAAGGGAAAATTTTCCCTCCAGAGACATGCTCTGATTCACACTTAGGAAAGGTCCAGCTCTACCCAATACAAATGCACCACAGGCTGGTGGTCTCAGTGCTTTACCACTGTGCTCTTCACAGACACTGGTCATAAAGGAAACAGGCAGGCCTTTCCCCAGCACACATTGCAAAGGTCAGCTGAAGCCATCAGGCAGAGCTGTGCTCTCCGTAGGGAGCATGTCCCTCTACCCCTGCCTGAGGTGGAGTGCTCTGATCAGTACATTTCAAATAAAACACACTCACATTCATCAGCTCCAAAGGAAGAAAAAACTTCTTGTAAGCTTTTCACAGAAGGGCCAGAGGACAGCTGGATCACTGCTTGGAAAGGGCAAAGTTGGAGCAGCGCTTAATATTAGATTAGTGAGAAGTCTATGAAAACACTCCAAAACTGCTTGTATGCTGTCTGAGCTAGTACTGAAGGGTACCCTGAAGGTTTTCAATCATCTGCAAGGCTTTGGCACCAGCATTGATGTTTGCAACCCGAACTCACTGAACACAATGTTCTCAGCTGTTGGCTGATGAAAAAAATGTGCTTGAGATGCTGAGGCAAAGATGTGCAAAAAGAAGAGAAACCTACCTTGCTGCTTCTACAAGATTCTCAGGAACAGTGCACCAGAGAGGCAAGGACAGCCAAAAAAGGCCTGAAATAGTTGAACAGGAAGACAGCTCTGATGTGGCCTCTCTTGCAAGGACCACTCCTTCTTCTACCCCATCCTTTGATATTGCTCCAGCTTCTACTTAGAAGATTTAAACCACCAGAAGTTAACAGTGGGCTACTCCTTTTCTTATGTGAATGCCATTGCTGATGGAAAGCATGGCCATCCACATGCCATTCTCGTGATCCTCAGAAATTCTCACATACTCTCAAAAATCTTCCCAGAGCCATAACTGAAGATGGCTGCCAACATGGCAAAGTGTGAACCTGCAGCTCAGCAGCCTGTGGGCAAATGCTGCTCGTTCACATCCCCCTTTTTTTCCAGAGCTGTGCTTTGGATTCCACACAGTCTGGTTTCTGCTGTGGTTCTGACAGCCTGCAAGCACATCCCTGCCTCCAATGAGAGGTCTCCATCCCTCCTCCTCTGAAGTGACAGGCTGCATTAGACCGTTCAGAATCACATTTGGTTCTCATTTTTGAACAGACATCCAAGATATTATTTTTAGAAGAAGCTATACTGGTATTTGCAAAAAATAGCCTTCTTTACTTTTATCCCAAATGGGGTCTTTTCCAAGTTTCTTTTCCTACTTTAGTCATATCTCTAAAGCTGTTTGCATTAAACACTCCAATTCCAGAAGCACATTAATCAGATTCTCTTTGGGCTCCTATTGCATGTGCCTTTCTCTGTGTCACAAGGCAAAAATACAACCAGCCTAACTATCATCTAATTCTCTTCCCCAGCAGAGAAAGCCCCAATTTGAGGGCCATATATGAGTGATAGCAGGTCCATTCAGCATTGGCCTGGTGCCACTGACATCCATGCAGCCTCCCAAGACCTGTGTCCAGCTGTGAGGAGTCAGCCCTCACCAGTCACTTGCAGTTAAAAAGGCAGATCAAGAGCCAGGTGCAATTCCCCAAAAGGAGAGGAGAGCTGCCAGCAAGGGCTGGCTTTCCCAGGTGCTGACCTGCCTGCCTGGCTGTGGTCCTTTGGGGGCCCTCAGAAATCTGCTCTGGAAATGGTTTTCTCTGCTTGGCTATGTTTACAGCTCTGAGAAAAGCTGGCAGGATAAGTGAAATGACATCTCTGATGGGTATGGGGGTTCTGCTGCCTGCTGGCAATGAAACTCAAGGCAATTCAGCAGCACAGATAAGCCATAAAAACAAGGACAGGTTTGTTTGGGTTTTCTTCAGCAGATTCCTAGAAAAAGACCTGGACTTAGTAAGGTATAGCTGCAGCATGCAGACAAGGCAAGCATGGAGTGCTGGTGTCTGGAAACAGATTGCCAGTCAGCCTGCAGCCACGGGAACAGGAGGGCAGAGTAAGGCTGGAAGCCCCACAGTTTGGCTCCTTCCCCAGGGTGCCCCTCAGGTGATGCTGTGAGCATTGGGGATGAACACACCTCAAGCAAGGACCTCCATCGTGAGCCTCTGGGACCTTGGAATCTAAGGCTCCCTTGCTCACCACCAGAAAATTGTAGAACTGCCTTTCCCAGGCATCGTGGACAGCATGGACTCACAAACCCACCCAAAACAAGGATGCCCTTTCCCAGCAGGAAACCCAAAGGGACTCTAAAGACACCAAAGGACACAGAGATCAATTGCCACCACAACAAACACAAATCCACCATCCTCAACCAATCTCTGAGAACCAGAGTGAGATTAGTAATGGGGTGGGCAAACACGCCCACATAACATGAGACCCCCTCCCAGAGGTCATCAACATCCCTTACCTCCTGCCAAAAAGCTGGCCAGGCACTGCTGCACACCAAGCTGAATGAGATCAGCTTTCTGGTCCTGCTAAGCTTCATCAGCTGGTCCATGCTGAATTATTTAAAACCATCTTTTATTAATCTACCACAGCTTTTTTCACTCAACCTCTAGCAAGTCACTTAACCACTCTGAATGGGTTGCACTGGCTTCATCCCCATGCAGTGATGCTGGCAGAGGTGAGAGGGACAAGCCATTGCTCTGCTACTGCTTCTGAAATATTCCAGTAGACCAAAGAGGTCTGTTGGACAAGAGCACTGGATTTATCCTGTCTTGATGGGATGTCTCATCTAAACACTAAGTCTTTTTGCTGGGTTATAACAGTACTTTTGTTTAAAAAACTCCTGCTAGGATAGTGCACATACTTTTCAAACAAGCTCAATGTAGCCAAAACCAAGCAAATTCTGGCTACGATACTGCCAGTGCCAGCACAGGGGCCAAACACCAGCTTTAGAAATTGAGCATTAAAGGGAATGTGTCCCCAGCCCTGCTCCTCCCAGTTTCCATCATCACCTGAGCCCTGGGTACATGACAGGCAGGCAGGGACTGTAGCTCCAAGCCATCACTGGTTGGACCAAACCAAGGGTCATTCTTTCAGTCTCTACACACTGGCAAGTGGATTTTAACAGCAAGAGGATTTCTAGTTAAGCATTCACCACCAAGGCCAAGCAGCTGATTTCTGACTTGGGAACAGTGGTCACACTCCTGCTCTGGTGGGGGATACACAGCACCAGCCTGCACAAATGGTGAGGAATTAGCTGCCCTCCTTCAGGCAAGATGCTGTTTTTCCACATTTTCTTCTTCAGGAACATAATTAATCTATATGAAGCAATGCTGTTTTCTTCTCAGTCTGTGTCCACTGCCCTGATAAATGAGAAGCACGGGAGAAAACCCTTCTCCAAGAGGCCTCTTTCCCCACTGAAGATGAATGTGGCAGGAGAACAGGGTGACAGTGAAGTGGTAGCTGAAGTCCCAGCAGGTCGTGGCTCAATGACCCCAGAGGAAGGAAGACCATGTTCCCACATGGGCTGCTAAAGACAAGGATCCAAGAGAAATTTAATTCATATCCACAGATGATACTCCCATGTAACTCTGATCTTTGAACATATTCTGACATTCAGAAGATGTTCTAGCTTTACAGCCCATGTAAACATCCACTGGGTCTGCTATCTGGGGGGAAGAGGGATGTAAATATTTAATTTCAGTCCATTTCATCAAATATTTAATCTACTTAATATTAATTAAATCTTGGTCTGAATAAACAACAGCTAAAAATTCACCTCTCCCTCCAAACATCAGATAACTTGAAGAGGTTAGTCTATGCAATCCCAAGTGAGATGTCAATTAATAAGAGGGGAGGGTCCTAGCTTTATGTTCTCTGTTGCTGGAATTGCTGTGGAGGCTTGTTTGCCTCCCATGACATTTCAGGCTGAATCCTTTTGCAGATGGGTGTACAGTAGCATCATCTAGTTTACACCAACCATTTCCACACCCAGCTTCACTGTGTTTCATTTTCCATGGATTTAATTTGTACACCCCCAAGTGTGTGCCCTCATCCCATTCCCAGTCACTGCTACATCCTCAGTGGGAATCCTTGAAGCTAAGGGGATGAAAACAGCTATTGGACTTAGGGCAAATAAAACCCAGGCCCCTCATAGGTGGACATCACAGGAGTGAATCATTTCCTAGTCCTTGACCACCCTCCTGACACGGTTGCACATCTCTCACATCACCCAGCAGCATGGTCAGGAAGAGGCATTTCTGGGAACAATGAGAAACTGCTACAGTAGGAGCAGATCATTTCCAGTGCAAAGGTTCAAGCCAACTAACACTGGGCTTTAAAGGCATTGCATCTGTTGCTGCAACCATCTTATTTCACTACAGAAAACCCTGTTTGAACCAAATCCCATCCATACCAGTCACACCAGCCAGAACACATTCTCTAATTACCCCTCACAGAGCCAACATTGAGGAAAGATTGCCCTGCATCCAACTCTGCTTACCTTGCTCTCCTTGGTGCGTGTCCAGCTCAGCAGAGCAGCATTTAGCTTTTCATTTCCTCCCTGCTGCACTGTTTAAAAGCTATCTCACCCAAACACTGACTGGTGTTGATGAAAGCAATTATACTGCTCCTCAAAATGTATCAGATGTATCTTCATTATCCTGAGACAGCCACGCCAAAGGCCCTAGATGGGAAATCTTTCAAAGTAAGCAAGTCAGGTGATTTCATTTAAACTGGACATTTTTACTCTTCCGTCCCCACTAAATTTTGAGGCTGGCTTAAAACCACAAACTATTTGTTTTAAAATAATAAATGCAGGATTACTTTTAACTAACATCTCTGAAGTATAAGTCTTTGGGTTGTGCTTTCATTACAGGTCAAACTCATAACCAAGAGAAAAACAGGACACTCCACTCCCTTTTCATGTTGGCCATGTGGTTGACTGGGGTCATGCCACTTCTCAGTTTTAGGTACTCCCTGGGGAAAAGAAGAGCTCAGTGCTGCATTTGGTGGCCCCTGTGGACGTGTGCCCTGTCTGGGTAACAGCACAGCAGAGACAATGAGAGTGGTGTTTATGCTGCCTAAAGGCTGCCTAAGTTAACAGGAACCTCATTCTGGCAAACCCTGCTCAAGGAGCCATTTCAGGTCAAGTGTCTGCATCATGGAACCAAGAACAAACTCAGCCTTACACCTTACACAGAGAGGCCTTATCACTAGATTATCCAGGAATTGTGACTGCAGGAATAAGCTGGGAAAGGGGGCTCTCCAGCAGGGTATAAGTCAGCATCCCAGCAGCCAGGCTGCCAGGTCTGCCACACTCAGAGTCCAACCCTGCATGGTTTGGTCTGCAAGAGGAATCGTTTGGATTTTTCTAGTGCCAAAAGTTATCCTGGTAGCAAAAGACCAGAATTCAGCTTTTCACTCTTCAAAAAAAGTTCAGTCAGGTCAGAAAAGAAATGTGGGTGCAGTGTTCTAAATATTTGTCTATACATTTATTTCATTTTTCACTCGGGGAGTCTTTCAGCAACACCTTAAGGTATCAAAATTAAGATGAATACTTTACAGCAATGCCACATGCACAGATGAAGAAAAGGCAACCTTCACCAGAAATTATTTTATCAGATATGTCCAGTGGTGAGAAACTTGTTCTGTTCTTCTTTTCCATGGAGAGCAATTGAAAAACAAGAAAAAAGGCCATAAAGTCATGGTCCAGCAAACACAACTGTTTCAAGCAGCAACAGAACCATCTATTCCTCCATGTAGCAGCTGACTTAAAGCAAATGTTTCTCATGTTTGGGAGTGAACCCTGCAGCAGGTCACAGAGTTCTGGAGGACCTCAAGGCTGCTCCTGCAAATGCAATATCCTGGGCTGTGCCCAAAACAATTTGGACCAAAGGCTGCAGGCATTGCATGCAGGAAAGCTGGGATGCTCAGGTGAGCTCATCTCACCTCCTGATAAAACCCTTTCACCCCATTACTCTCACACACACAAAACTGCTGGTTTTTGACTTAAGCATGCTTTTGAAAGCCATCCAGACCTCCTGCTGCAGAGCACTGCTGACAGGAAACACATGTCAGTGGAATTTCTCCACTAGTGCAAAAGGCACTGCTGACCCCAGGAAATCCCAGAGCACCTAATGAACCCCGAGCCTCCTGGGAAGGGTCCTCGCTCTTCATTATTCCCTAAAATCTGCTACAAGCTGCTCTCAGAGCCACAGAAGCAAAGCAGGACCTTGGATCCAAGGCAGCTCAGATGCTCTCTCTGAACTGGCCAACATAGAATTGACAATCACACAAACAGACTAAACTGGAGCCAGCTTCAGCAGTTTTAAACTAGTTGAAGCCAACAAGTTCATACCTTTGTTGATGACACCTGTGCTCAAGTGAGGGCATGGTCTTCCTGCTCCCTTTTATGGTCTATCCTCATGTGGCTCTGTTGGATTTGGGTGCTGAGACCCACCTTGCACCCCCATACTCCTGGATGTGAGATGATGCCCTCAATATTCGTGATCCTCCTTGGGAAATGAGTTCTCCTAGGGGACAATGGCAGTGGCCAAGAAGGTCTCCCAAGATGGAAGGATGTTGAATGACCAGCTCAAACATCAGTGTCTCAATTCAACACCTCTCAACAACCCCTGCTCCACAACAGCAGGCCTCCTCCTCCTCCTCTGCTTGCATGAGACCTCCCTCCTGGGACTAGCCACGGCCTGACACAAAAAAGACATGGATATTTGTACCCTCCACAGCCCTGTTCACCATCCCCTCTGCACAGCCTTGAGGATATTTGGCATTGTGCTGTAGGCTCCCTGCACTGTGTGTTCCTGCACTGTGACCCCCAGATGGAATTTCACCTGGACTTCCCAGGGCTCAGACTATGACACTTTCTGTTCCCAGAGGGGTTGGGATCTGGTCCTGAGCATTTGTGAGCTGAGTGAGTACCAGTGGCTACTGCAAGGGCTGAGCTGATGCAAATTCTGTTCTCTCTTCACTGCACTTCTACAGCTTGAGATAAGGCCCAGAAATCACTACAAACATGTCACAGAGATGTTCCTATAAACCAGCTGTTCATACAGCAGTTCATACCAGGGATGATGAGAGCTGCAAGTGGAGCTGCCTGCCAGGACACTGGCTGTAATAAAGGAGCAATCTCAACAGACTTTGAACTTTTCCAAAGAACAGAGAACGTTAAGAAATAAGACAAAGAGCTTCAACTGGTGAAAGCTGCACAGGCAGCAGGACTGCCACCCAACCCAGAGGGAACCTTCTTCTGGGCAAGGGGATGCAGGGTGGGACTGGGGGTACTTATAGCACAGGAAGGCTGATGGACATCGTCTGAAATCCTCCAAGGCTCCTCTGGCTCTGGGAAACTCATTTTGTGTGAGCAGAGTGATGCAGGCCAAGTCCCTCCCTCACTGGAAAGAGGCTCCTCGATGTGACCAGATCCTTGGCCCCCTGAGAACATGGACCAAAACCCCATGGAAACAAATGAATACATCAGTAGTTCTGAGGGGATCAGGGACAAGCCCTGGGCAGGCAGCCACAGGTCTCTGCAAGGGCCACCCTGCTGCTCATTGTAGCTCTTCCCAGAAGCATTTTAGGACATTTGCTCCACCAGACCAACTCACCTGAGCCCCTCCTGCACATCCCTTGTCTGGCACAGTTGTGCCCTCCACGAGAATCCCCACACAAGGGGTGGCAGGCAGGGTAACCCCATAGAGGAAAGTGGTGCAGAAACATCTCCCAGGGCAGACCTGGCAGTGCCATCTCTGCCTGGTGTTTGCTGTGCCAGCCTGGCTGGCTCCCACTCAGCTGGGGAGACAGGTCCCTCTCCTTCTCCTCACACCATTAACCTTTCAGCCCCAAAATAAAAGGTTATAAAAAACAATCAAAGTTCATTACATCCCTTAATGCGTCATTTGCAAGAGAATGACCTGGAAGGAAATGATGGGGAGGGAGTCAGGAGGGGGAAGGGGAAGAGCCTCAGTCTCCCAGCCCCAGACCCACCAAAATACTCTATCCTGTCCACACTACAGATTTGGCAGGGAGAACAACTGCCAGAGGGGTGGAGCAAGTGCAGTCAATGGCTTTGGATCACCTCGTGTCCCAGGAACTGACTCAGAGTCTCCCACGGGATCTGCTTTGTGAAACCCTCCAAGGCCATCAGGCTCAGCCAAGACCAGAGTGGAAGCACGACACTCTACCCACACCAAGTTCCCCTGGCCTGAAAAAGCCACCACAATGTTCATTCATCCCTGGGCCACCATCAGGCCCTACACCCAGCAGTGATGCTGCCTGCACACCCTGGCCCCCTGCCACCTTGCCAAGCACCTCCAACTGCAAACCAGGGCACTGGCAGAGTGGGGCCACTGGACCAGCAGCTCCCACACAGGGCTCTGGTCATTTATCTTCTCATCAGAAGCAGTTCCACATTCAGTGGGAGAACGTTCCCCCATCACCTCCTTCAGGGAGGGTCTTGGCAGCACTGGAGGAAGGGCAAGCAAGCTCTGTCTCCTGGGGGCTGCAGACAAAGGCCCACTCAGGTGGACACTCCTGCATAGATCACAAAGTGTTGCCTTCCAGTCTAATTGTTTCTACTCCATTTGCAAACTGATTATTAAAAACCCTCACAACAGCTGCAAACACCATGCCAGGCAGGCGTCCCCAGCAGTAGTGCCAGGCTGCACTCCCAGGGTGCAGATCACACCCTCAAACCCTACACTCTTCTCTTTAACAAACACATTAATGCTCTTACTGTGGCACATAGAGAGGGGGTGGAAATACCCAAGAAATATCAGGGACTCATTTGTTATTATGCCACTGCACAATGAACAGAGCCATTGTTCTTACCTGAACTAACAATCCCTTTCAGACAACACAAGTGCTTTTCCCAGTGTGTTCTTCAAAAAATGGCAAGACAAAGCTACCTGTGGATCGGTGAACAGTTCAGAAAATAAAATACAATAAAATAAAACAGCTAACATTATTCAGAAGATTTTCACACTTGATCTGTAAACGCTCTTTTATTTAATAAAAATAATCATCCATTATAG